TGTTTACCCTAGTAATACTGTATACCCTGTTTACCCCTATATATCCTGTTTACCCTAGATTACCCCAGTAATACTGTATACCCTGTATACCCCTATATAAGCTGTTTACCCATGTTTACCCTAGTAATACTGTATACCCTGTATACCCCTATATATCCTGTTTACCCTTGATTACCCTAGTAATACTGTATACCCTGTATACCCCTATATATCCTGTTTACCCTTGATTACCCAAGTAATACTGTATACCCTGTACACCCCTATATAAGCTGTTTACCCATGTTTACCCTAGTAATACTGTATACCCTGTATACCCTTATATATCCTGTTTACCCTTGATTACCCTAGTAATACTGTATACCCTGTATACCCCTATATATCTTGTTTACCCTTGATTACCCTAGTAATACTGTATACCCTGTATACCCCTGTATAACCTGTTTACCCATGTTTACCCTAGTAATACTGTATACCCTGTATACCCCTATATATATCCTGTTTACCCGAGATTACCCTAGTAATACTGTATACCCTGTATACCCCTATATAACCTGTTTACCCATGTTTACCCTAGTAAAACTGTATACCCTGTATACCCCTATATATCCTGTTTACCCTTGATTACCCTGGTAATACTGTATACCCTGTATACCCCTATATAACCTGTTTACCCATGATTACCCTAGTAGTACTGTATACCCTGTATACCCCTATATATCCTGCTTACCCATGATTACCCTAGTAATACTGTATACCCTGTATACCCCTATATAACCTGTTTACCCATGTTTACCCTAGTAAAACTGTATACCCTGTATACCCCTATGTATCCTGTTTACCCTTGATTACCCTAGTAATACTGTATACCCTGTATAACCCTATATATCCTGTGTACCCATGTTTACCCTAGTAATACTGTATACCCTGTATACCTCTATATATCCTGTTTACCCTTGATTACCCAAGTAATACTGTATACCCTGTACACCCCTATATAAGCTGTTTACCCATGTTTACCCTAGTAATACTGTATACCCTGTATACCCTTATATATCCTGTTTACCCTTGATTACCCTAGTAATACTGTATACCCTGTATACCCCTATATATCTTGTTTACCCTTGATTACCCTAGTAATACTGTATACCCTGTATACCCCTATATAACCTGTTTACCCATGTTTACCCTAGTAATACTGTATACCCTGTATACCCCTATATATATCCTGTTTACCCGAGATTACCCTAGTAATACAGTATACCCTGTATACCCCTATATAACCTGTTTACCCATGTTTACCCTAGTAAAACTGTATACCCTGTATACCCCTATATATCCTGTTTACCCTTGATTACCCTGGTAATACTGTATACCCTGTATACCCCTATATATTCTGTGTACCCATGTTTACCCTAGTAATACTGTATACCCTGTATACCCCTATATAACCTGTTTACCCATGATTACCCTTGTAGTACTGTATACCCTGTATACCCCTATATATCCTGCTTACCCATGATTACCCTAGTAATACTGTATACCCTGTATACCCCTATATAACCTGTTTACCCATGTTTACCCTAGTAAAACTGTATACCCTGTATACCCCTATGTATCCTGTTTACCCTTGATTACCCTAGTAATACTGTATACCCTGTATACCCCTATATAACCTGTTTACCCATGATTACCTTAGTAATACTGTATACCCTGTATACTCCTTTATATCCTGCTTACCCATGATTACCCTAGTAATACTGTATACCCTGTATACCCCTATATAACCTGTTTACCCATGTTTACCCTAGTAAAACTGTATACCCTGTATACCCCTATGTATCCTGTTTACCCTTGATTACCCTAGTAATACTGTATACCCTGTATACCCCTATATAACCTGTTTACCCATGATTACCTTAGTAATACTGTATACCCTGTATACCCCTTTATATCCTGCTTACCCATGATTACCCTAGTAATACTGTATACCCTGTATACCCCTATATAACCAGTTTACCCATGTTTACCCTAGTAAAACTGTATACCCTGTATACCCCTATATATCCTGTTTACCCTTGATTACCCTAGTAATACTGTATACCCTGTATACCCCTATATAAGCTGTTTACCCATTTTTACCCTAGTAATACTGTATACCCTGTATACCCCTATATATCCTGTTTACCCTTGATTACCCTAGTAATACTGTATACCCTGTATACCCCTATATATCCTGTTTACCCTTGATTACCCTAGTAATACTGTATATCCTGTATACCCCTATATATCCTGTTTACCCTTGATTACCCTAGTAATACTGTATACCCTGTATACCCCTATATAACCTGTTTACCCATATAGAACGAATCTTCCAGCTCTGCTCCATTTTATAACGGAATTTTTTTTTGATAATCTATACTAACAGTTTCCACTTTATATTCAATCACATGGAAACATAGACCACAATGTATGATCAACAAAGTTTATTGGTTAGCAGATCAAACTGTTGGCTAGCCCCGATCTGGCTGAAAGACTGAGTGATCTTAAACGCGATTTTATTTTACTAGGCAACTGACTACGTACTATACAGACAATTAAGGGGTGTGTTGCCCATTGCCCATCACATCCTCGCGTGATTTTGTTGCCTTACAAGAATAATATGACTTTCACACAATAAGCCTTTAAAATTATTATTTGGATTCTTAATACACTTTAAATTGTTTCAAAAGCTATTTTTTTTCTAAACATAACGGCCGATCGAAGTCAAGATTGCTCAATGTTTACTATATTTCTCTTGTGGATGGTACCATTTGATACGGTAATAGAACAATCAGTCCGAGTTCCCTTGGTTATCAAGAACTGAAATACCATAATAAAGATTCTTTAGAGCTAAATGTGTTTTTCTTACAAATTTCAATTTTCCTTGAATTTGCCTCTCTGTTTTAGAGGTCACTGTAAACTGTATATTATTTCCACGCAGACCCTTGCTCACAAAATTATACAATATGGATATATTTCTGTAACTTGGGATAACACACGTGTTCAAAATGAATGACTCAACGGAGTCTAACAGACAGCTCTCTTCGAGTGTCCATGGTCCGGGCTGCAAATCAGATCCCTCCTCCTCCAGGATAGCTGCTGTTCGCCGCCTCTTCAATGATGGTGGTGTAGAAGTTATTCTCTTCTTTTTCTCTGCCTTACAATCGTCTGTGCTGTGAGTAACCCTTATTCCATATCTACTTTCACAGTTGAAACATGAACAGAGGATAGAGCAAGGTTTACCATTGGAGTAGCATCTATGCAAGAGGTTTGACCTGTTTTCCGTCCTTTAGCCCTACTTTCTCCACACCGGCATGACAGTTTTTGGGGATTCTGACTGCGATTGTCGCAGTTGCTGCACTTGCACTGAGCTTGGCAATTTTTTTTGTTAGAAACACACGGGCAACGAGATTTTTCAGTTGAAACACAAAAGCGCTCACTTCTGGATTTTGCCTTCCGTCCACAATAGCAAATTTGGGAAACTGCCTGTTCCTGAGCATGTTGAAGTTCAGCCTCGATAGGATCTGAAAAAAAAAAATCGTTGATTACTTGGTTTTATTATCATTATTCAGGGGCGGATCCAGGATTTTTTTAGGAGGGGGTCCACTCGTCTCTTGCTCTACTTCAACACCAATAAACCACATAGTTTTTTTTTTTGGAGAATACCAGTTGTATTAGAAAACCGCAGGTCATCTCGGGGGGGGTGCGTACCCACTGCACCCTCCCCCTAGATCCGCCCCTGTTATTGTTGTTATCATTATTGTTAGGTTGTTTAGTATCGTTGCTGTTCCTTTTCGTTTTACCGGCCGTGTAACTACTAGCATGGCTTTAAGGGACTATAGTGGTATTCATAGGTCTCGAGGTTGCCTAACCGATCGAGGTCTGTCTCAGGTTTCCTTGTATATGCCAACAACTGACTGAAAACAAAACTTAGTGAGTTTAGGAAAAACTAGTGTTAGAAGGAACTGAAAAAGGCGTATTAAAATTACATAACCTGCAAATTTTCAGTCGTATATTTCAAAAGTAGCGATTGTAAACGGCCGACGACAATTAGAATGTTCGTATTCAACCTTTTTAAATACGCCGTATTGCACCTTGTTGACCTCCCAAATTTTTGAATAACCATTGTAAACCATTGTAACCATTATGGTGAATGTGAAAATAACGATTGGGAAAATAAACTCTTGCCAAGCAGTCACGGTTGAATGTTTCTACCATACAAATCCTTGTACTCTCGGTAGGCGTTGCAATCGCGCCTTTTGAACATATTCTGAAGAAAGTCGATCACGTGACCAACTATTTAACATAAAACCTATTGTTAGCCCCACTTGAGTAATTATGAAACTTATAACACGTCAAAATAAGTTATTATTATGATCATGACATGGATGATAGAAGTTTGGTCACCCATAACAAACTGGTATTTACAACTTTTGATTTTACGGCTGCCCATAACGCAGTTCCTTGAGTTGACAGACTTATCCCTGTTAAATTTACCATTCACTTCAACTTACCATTGGTTATGCTCTCCTTAGCATCGTAATGGCCTGCCCCAAAATAATGGTAAGCAATATAGATTGGAGTGTTACTCAAAGGATTATCGCAGTTGAAGGGCAAAAAAGGAATTGTTTCAGAAGACGTTATCACCATAACTGGAACTTGCAAGATATTTGAACACAGTCTTATTACAAAGTCGCCAATTTCTTGATAAAAAAAAACTCTTACGCTAAACTCGCGGGCTTTCCTTTCAACATCTGCCTGGGAACCTTCGACGAAGTTTGAGATGCTGCAGTCGTCAGCTAAAACTGCATCTACAAATAGTTGTCGAAGAGTGTACGTATCCAGGTCTTCAGTATTTAAGAGTCTTAGACGCCTCAGGTGCTCTGATAATTGACCTGCCTCATTGTGGACAAGTTTTCTTACTTGTCTCATTATTGTTATTACGGAAGGCACAGTCCCCATCAGATTGGACTCATATCCAGCTGCAGGTTGAATGTGGCTAAATGCCGTTTAAGCGTCTCACTATGGCTGTTGATCGTTGGGTCGTCGGTGTCAATGTTGTCTTCAGAAGTAAGAAGTTTTGTCATTTTGCTGAGATGAACAATGTCAAGAGCATTAAAAGAACGATCATTGTTTTTCTCTTTTACTTTCTTTATCATTTCGGAAAGGTTATACGTTGCACTTATTAGAGCCACTGCAATCGATTCCTGACTGAGATCTTCAATGGTCTCAACCATTATAACAAAAGGATTACTCGAAGCAAATGAGTTTTCGGAAATCTGGAAAATTTTTCCATCCTCTATATCTAACTCTGTTGAAAACTGAGGCTGCCGAACTTTATCATCAACTGACTCTGTTTCAAATTCAGCATTTCCAGTTAACGCATTACAGCTGGTGACATTACTTTCGACTGTTGCCACAGGCTTGATTTTTGAACTACAACAATGTTTTTCTGCAGATATTTTTTGGTTGTGATGGTAGAATAATAGAGTCGGCAATGCTATTGCTAGTTGGACGGAAAGAGTAGTGGCTCCAGAAATCATCGACCTGTTTAAAAGTCTGTGCAATCCCTCGTTTCTCTCTGTACCACATCCTGGAAATATTTCTGATAAACAGCCTTTCTGTATGTGCTTGCGTAGATTTTCAATTTCTATAAAAGTTGCTTCTGTAAGAGGGCTAAAGAGAACATTGTTCCAGCGTTCTATAAACGAGTTAAGATTTTTTTCCATCTTTTCCTTGTACACAGTGCTTTTAAGTCGTTTCTCGCCTTGGTCATCGTCGTCACGAAATATTTGAACAAAAGATTTTGACACTTCTTTATGAAGAGCACTTTGTCGAGAAAATGTTCTCGTTATTCTTTGACATGCGTGAAACAGATCAAGTTTGACAGAGACGTTTGGAAAGATATTGCTGTACTTGCTGCTAACATGACAGCAATCATCCACGCCAACAAGCTTTAAAGAGTTTCCAGAAAAAGACAGCCTTCTCTTGAGTTGGATAAGAAGGTCTTCAATTTCATTGAAGGACGTCGACTTTGTCAATTTCCATGCCACAACTTCCCCACGTTCATTTAGGCAAATAAATAATTGGTGAAACTGGGTTACAAATTTGTTATCTTTCTCCCTGACGAACCCAATATTGCGACTTATTTTAAAGGTGTGATCACAAGACAAAGATGAAACTGTCAATCGGTTCATCTCCTCATCGTAAATTGCCCTGTTTTTTTCAAAATTGTGGAGGAAAATCTTCATTATCTGGTCATTGCTCGGAAAAGAATATAGAGGATTATTGTGGAACTCAGCGATGTCTGGTACGCTGCACATATTACATTTGCGTGCACTGAAATATATCCTTCTTCTTTGAAGATACTGGCGATAGTTTAAAGACGCCAAACCTTCGCTTATTTTAAGAAAGCTAACTCCCTCTAAAATTTGGATGTCAAAGAAATGAACCATAGCTTTGGAAACACCACATCTCTGGAAAATCTCTAGGGGGAAAAATTCTTGAATGTATCCTGGAAGCAGATTATGAACATCGGGCGTGGTCGCCCGCAATTTGTGTCTTTGTCTATCATTTCCACACCTGTAGATTCTCTGTAGAAGAACGATATCTTCCATGAAATCATAGATTAGCCTAGCTTTTTCTCCACCTTTTCCAGAAACGCATCTTGTCCACTGGTTTGGATGTAGATCGTTACCATGCAAAGGACAATTGAGAGCAATCTGAAACTGTTCTTTGGGACTCCAGAGCATTACTTTAGGTAAGAAGTAATCTTCTATTGGGGATCCAGGAGATGGTAGAGGGGGAAAGAGTGGCTAAAGTGTTGTGAATTTTCATCAAATTTTTTGATTAATTCATCAACATACTTCTGGGCTCGCTCTCCCAAGCTAATCCAGAGAATAATGACAGCAACAGCTGTTACAAATTCCACTTTCCAATCTGAAAGTAACAAATGCAAAACGATGATAGTCAGTTCGACATGATGGTATCAGTGGGGCTAAAACGATATTGCAATTGTTTATAACAAAGTTATTACAACCACAATTCAAAATATTCCCTGTTCCTGATTGAGTTACGATCCCCTCCCCTAGAACAAAATTAGCTACCCTTGATTTAATTTTAGAAGCCAAAGATAACTACCGTAAATGATAACGAGCAAATTTGAAAACTTGCACGTGCTACAAAAGAAGATAAACACGCGCGCGCTCTTACAGGACACGAGACCTAGTCGCCCTATTTTGGCTGTAAATATGTAAATATTTTTCATGTAAATATATATATATATATATATATATATATATACATCCGTAGAGAAAAGAATGAAAAAAATAAAATAAAACAAAAATAAGAACAAGAATGAATGTACAACACTTACTTGACATTTTTGTCATGTTCCGGTACTTGTTTTTTAAAATGTGTTTGCTTTTTGTTTCAGAGGTTCTCGCAAATCTGACCATCAAAGAACTTTTTTAGTTGGAGATAACTCTTCTTTTTGACCATATTATCCAGTAACGCGACTGTTTCAGTGCCTCAGAAGATGGGTACACACGATATATAGGGGTATACAGGGTATACAGTTCTATTAGGGTAAACATGGGTGCACAAGGTATATAGGGGTATGCAGGGTATACAGTACTATTAGGGTAAACATGGGTGCACAAGGTATATAGGGGTATGCAGGGTATACAGTACTACTAGGGTAAACATGGGTACACAAGATATATAGGGGTATACAGGGTATACAGTATTACTAGGGTAAACATGGGTGCACAAGGTATATAGGGGTATACAGGGTATACACTACTACTAGGGTAAACATGGCTACACAAGATATATAGGGGTATACAGGGTATAAAGTATTACTAGGGTAAACATGGGTGCACAAGGTATATAGGGGTATACAGGGTATACAGTATTACTAGGGTAAACATGGGTACACAGGATATATAGGGGTATACAAGGTATACAGTATTACTAGGGTATTCATGGGTACAGGATATACACGGGTACACACGATAGATAGGGGTATACAGGGTATACAGTACTACTAGGGTAAACATGGTTACACAAGATATATAGGGGTATACAGGGTATACAGTACTATTAGGGTAAACATGGGTGCACAAGGTATATAGGGGTATGCAGGGTATACAGTACTACTAGGGTAAACATGGGTACACAAGATATATAGGGGTATACAGGGTATACAGTGTACTAGGGTAAACATGGGTGCACAAGGTATATAGGGGTATACAGGGTATACAGGGTATACAGTACTACTAGGGTAAACATGAGTAAACAAGATATATAGGGGTATACAGGGTATACAGTACTACTAGGGTAAACATGGGTACACAAGATATTATAGGGGTATACAGGGTATACAGTATTACTAGGGTAATCAAGGGTAAACAGGATATATAGGGGTATACAGGGTATACAGTATTACTAGGGTAAACATGGGTAAACAGGTTATATAGGGGTATACAGGGTATACAGTATTACCAGGGTAAACATGGGTGCACAAGGTATATAGCGGTATACAGGGTATACAGTACTACTAGGGTAAACATGGGTACGCAAGATATATAGGGGTATACAGGGTATACAGTATTACTAGGGTAAAAATGGGTACACAGGATATATAGGGGTATACAGGGTATACAGTATTACTAGGGTAAACATGGGTGCACAAGGTATATAGGGGTATACAGGGTATACAGTATTACTAGGGTAAACATGGGTGCACAAGGTATATAGCGGTATACAGGGTATACAGTACTACTAGGGTAAACATGGGTACGCAAGATATATAGGGGTATACAGGGTATACAGTATTACTAGGGTAAACATGGGTACACAGGATATATAGGGGTATACAGGGTATACAGTATTACTAGGGTAAACATGGGTGCACAAGGTATATAGGGGTATACAGGGTATACAGTATTACTAGGGTAATCAAGGGTAGACAGGATATATAGGGGTATACAGGGCATACAGCATTACTAGGGTAAACATGGGTAAACAGGTTATATAGGGGTATACAGGGTATACAGTATTACTAGGGTAAACATGGGTACACATGATATATAGGGGTATACAGGGTATACAGTATTACTAGGGTGAACATGGGTGCACAAGGTATATAGGGGTATACAGGGTATACAGTATTACTAGGGAAACATGGGTACACAGGATATATAGGGGTATACAGGGTATACAGTATTACTAGGGTGAACATGGGTGCACAAGGTATATCGGGGTATACAGGGTATACAGAACTACTAGGGTAAACATGGGTACACAAGATATATAAGGGTATACAGGGTATACAGTATTACTAGGGTAAACATGGGTACACAGGATATATAGGGTTATACAGGGTATACAGTATTACTCGGGTGAACATGGGTGCACAAGGTATATAGGGGTATACAGGGTATACAGTACTACTAGGTTAAACATGGGTACACAAGATATATTGGGGTATACAGGGTATACAGTACTATTAGGGTAAACATGGGTAAACAGGTTATATAGGGGTATACAGGGTATGCAGTATTATTTAGGGTAAACATGGGTGCACAAGGTATATAGGGGTATACAGGGTATACAGTACTACTAGGGTAAACATGGGGGCACAAGGTATATAGGTGTATACAGGGTATACAGTACTACTTGGGTAAACATGGGTACACAAGATATATAGGGGTATACAGGGTATACAGTACTACTAGGGTTATCAAGGGTAAACAGGATATATAGGGGTATACAGGGTATACAGTATTACTAGGGTAAACATGGGTACACAGGATATATAGGGGTATACAGGGTATACAGTACTACTAGGGTAAACATGGGTACACAAGATATGTAGGGGTATACAGGGTATACAGTATTACTAGGGTGAACATGGGTGCACAAGGTATATAGGGGTATACAGGGTATACAGAACTACTAGGGTAAACATGGGTACACAAGATATATAAGGGTATACAGGGTATACAGTATTACTAGGGTAAACATGGGTACACACGATATATAGGGTTATACAGGGTATACAGTATTACTAGGGTGAACATGGGTGCACAAGGTATATAGGGGTATACAGGGTATACAGTACTACTAGGTTAAACATGGGTACACAAGATATATTGGGGTATACAGGGTATACAGTACTATTAGGGTAAACATGGGTAAACAGGTTATATAGGGGTATACAGGGTATACAGTATTATTTAGGGTAAACATGGGTGCACAAGGTATATAGGGGTATACAGGGTATACAGTACTACTAGGGTAAACATGGGGGCACAAGGTATATAGGTGTATACAGGGTGTACTGTACTACTTGGGTAAACATGGGTACACAAGATATATAGGGGTATACAGGGTATACAGTACTACTAGGGTTATCAAGGGTAAACAGGATATATAGGGGTATACAGGGTATACAGTATTACTAGGGTAATCAAGGGTAAACAGGATATATAGAGGTATACAGGGTATACAGTATTACTAGGGTAAACATGGGTACACAGGATATATAGGGGTATACAGGGTATACAGTACTACTAGGGTAAACATGGGTACACAAGATATATAGGGGTATACAATATTGCATTATAACATAGCTAGAAAATTCGCCTAATCAAATTCAATAGCGCGAGCGTGCTTCATATTCCTATTGAGCACGCTGATGACGTCAATAAACTATTCGTAATTCCTCGAGTGGTTGTGAGCTTAGCAATCCTGAGTCTCCTGAGTGCATCCATAACTCAGCAATAGACAAGGAAGCGTTTACGATGTGTTTTATAAGGAAATTTAAGAGGAAACGTTTGAATTTGTTAACCGATAGTAAGGAAAAGAGGTGAGTGTTGTTGTTGTTGTTGTCATCTCCGCGAGCTGTGCGGGCTATGGCGTGAGTTCATTCTTTGCAAACTTGTTTTCTCTCAATAACAATTTTTCGGTAAATTAATAGTTTTCCGGCACCTAAATATGGATTTTATAATCATTTTAGAGTACACTTTCTCTCAGTTTCAGGATAAAAACATAAGATTAACTGTGAGGAAAAAAATATATAGTCACGTAAACATTGACGCGTACTGCTTTGAGCGCACCCTACAATAATAAAATTATAAGTTAACTGATGCATTGATCGCTTTGATGATGTTATAAAACAATTAGTTCATGCTGCAGCTGTGCGTATGTCGAGTTATTGAGCACTTGGGAAGTTTGGAGAGCACTCAAGAGGCTAGAGTTGCACTCGGCTGCGCCTCGTGCAACTCTTACGCCTCTTTCGTGCTCTCCAAACTTCCCGCGTGCTCAATATCTCGACATACGCACGCTGACGCATGAACTAATTGTTAACTAATATATTAGGGAGTCTATATGGAGACTGCCATGAATTACTTGCCAAAATTTGGTTATGACGTAGCGTACGCCCGCCCGCCCGCCCACCCGTACACATTCTTCATGTAAGGAGATGTCAAATGTCACAATAGATCTTGCACAACTTGACTAGCCTCTTAGTTATGTAAGCCATCCGTATGAGTACGATTAGATTGACAGCTGTCAAAATCAGGCATCCGCTGACAATTATCACATGACCATCTCGCGGGCTCAGATGAAAGACCAGTCGTTTTGCCCCTACATATAAGCTGATATAATATGTCACACTTACCAATTTAACATAAAAACGAAACTACGCCGGGCAAGGTTTTCAGTTGGCTGACAGTCGTTTAAAGAT